AGCAGACAAAGCCAATTACTATAAAGACATATGCAAAGACTTGGAGTTAGAAAACCAAAAAGGAAGAATACGTTCAGTATTTCTCAAGCTAAAAGAACTGAGGAAAAAATTTAAGCCTCAGGATGCAATATTGAAAGATTCTATGGACAAAATATTGAATGATGCAGGAAACATCAAGAGAAGACAGAAGGAATATGCAGTCACTGTAACAAAAAGAACTGGTAGATCTTCATCCATTTCAGGAGGTGGCATATGAACAAGAACCAATGGTTTTGAAGGAAGGTGTCAAAGCTGCAATGAAGGAATTGGCAAAGAACTAGGCTCCAGGAATTGACATAATACCCACTGAGATGTTTCAACAAATGGATGCCCCACTGGAGGCACTCACTCAGTTATGCCAAGAGATTTGGAAGAGAGCTACCTGGCCAACTGACTGGAAGAGACACATATTTGTACCCATTTCAAAGAAAGGTGATCCCGCAGAATGTGGAAATTATTGAACAATGTCATTAATATCTCATGCAAGTAAAATCTTACTGAAGATAATCCAAAAACGGTTGCATCAATTTATTGACAGAGAACTTCCAGAACTGCAAGCTGGACTCAGAAGAGGATGTACAACAAGAGATATCATTGCAGATATCAAATGGATCTTGTCTCAAAGCAGAGAATACCAGAAAGATTTTTACTTGTGTTTTATTTACTATGCAAAGGCATCTTATTGTGTAGATCATAACAAATTGTGGATAGCATTGAGAAGAATGGGAATTCCAGAACACTTAACTGTACTCAGAGGAACTTGTAGATAAATGAGGAGGCTGTGTTTCAAACAGAACAAGGGGACACTGCATGGTTTTAAATCAAGAAAGGAGTGTGTCAGGGTTGTATCCTTTCACCATACTTATTCAATCTATATGCTGAGCAAATAATCAGAGAAGCTGGACTATATGAAGAATGCAGCATCAAGATTGGAGGGAAAATCATTAACAACCTGCAATATGCTGATGACACAACCTTGCTTGCTGAGAGTGAGGATGAGTTGAAGCACTTACTGATGGAGCTTGAAGAATACAGTGCACAGTATGGATTACACCTAAATATAAAGAAAACAAAAAT